GGGGAGGGTCAGAGGGAGAAGCAGACTCCCTGCTCAGCAGGGAGCCCGATGCGGGACTTGATCCCGGGACTCCAGGATCATGACCTGAGCCGAAGGCAGTCGCTTAACCAACTGAGCCACCCAGGCGTCCCTGGAAATGAAGAAGTTTTAAAAATAAAATAATGTTTATGTTCGTAGATATTTTATACATTAGGATTTCATCCTTTATGAGAATGCACACAGACACACAAAACTGACCATTACTTTACTCACCAAAATAAGGTTTACTTGTATCAAAAATTATGTTCCTCCACTCAAATATTTTAGAGGCATGGCTTTTCAAAAGGACTGAACATTCCCCTAATCTTGACTCCATGGCCATGAGTGCATCATGTTTTTGAGGGACAGTTTCCCACAGATGTGTATAAATTGAAGTAAATGAACTATCTTCTTTTATTTTCTTCACAGTGTGTAACCATTCATCACTATCTCCAAAATGGATTTCCCTTGGCCAATAATCCTGCAAAAAATGTGAGAGAATATAACCTAAGTCATTTTTAAATTTAAATAATTTAAAAATTTAAATTATATTTAATTTTAACTTAATTATTTAAATTTAATTATAATGATATAATTAAATTTATATTAATAAAAATATTTATATTAATTTAATTATATTTAAATTTAAATAATAGAGTTCTAAATCAATGAGCTAAAACTGAGATTTAATTCCACAGCATTACCTTCTTTTACATTATTGAAGTATAATTGACATACAATGTTATATTAGTTTCACGTGCCCAACATATTGTACAACACAGCATTACTTTTCATTAAATGCATCTCTAAAAAGTGAAACAATCATAAACTTTAGAAGTTTCAGATTTTTTTTTAAAGATTTTATTTATTTCTATGACAGAAAGAGACACAGCGAGAGAGGGAACACAAGCAGGGGGAGTGGGAGAGGGAGAAGCAGGCTTCTCGCTAAGAGAGCCTGATGCTGGCTAGATCCCAGGACCCTGGGATCATGACCTGAGCTGAAAGCAGACCCTTAACAACTGGGCCACCCAGGTACCCCAAAAGTTTCACATGTTTTACAAAAAACCTTTCTGAATCGTTTGAAAGTAAGTTGCTTACTTGACTGATGCCCCATTATCCTTGAATACATTAGTGTGTATTTCCCAAAAACAAAAACATTCTCCTACATAATCAAAATACAACCATCAGAATTAGGAATTGGCATTGATACATTGTTCCCATCTAAGTTTGACTCTGGTCACGTCTTATCAACTGAAACAGTAATGCCCTTTATAGCAAAAGGATCTAGTTCAGTATCACTTATTACATTTGGGCTTCATATGTCTTTAGTCTCCTTCAGTCTAAAAATTCCCCAGTCTTTTCTTGGCCTCCATGTATTTAAAACCATGAGTTCACCCTGAAACCTGAAATTCCAATTCCAAACATTTTAGTTTTCTCTTTTTCCATATCACAATTACCATCTCTAACAGTGGAAAATCTAGTTGCCATTATCTTTAATGTACATATTTGATCAATCTTTTCAGGTAACCAATCTCTCCTATCCACTGGGAGCCTCTTTTCTATGTAGATGCCCTTTTCATCCTGCTTCGACTCTGACATCCAATCCCAGGCTGCCAATTCTGCAGGGACACCTTTGTTACCCCTGCTTGGGCTCTGAATTCCCATACAAGCCACAGCCTACCTCCACACCTCCCTGAAAAAACCTTCGTCCCCAGCTGCAGGTGGCTACCATCTCATTCCCTTGAGCTCTGATACCTTTGGTGTCACATGAATACTCTCCTCATCATGGTTGAGTTCAGAGAGCTTGCTCAGAGCCATCACAGCATATCCTCTTCCCCAGGGCAAATATGGACACCTGCCTTGTTTGGGCCCCCAAATGGCTTTGGGACTAAATTGTTCAGGAAGGGAAAGAGAGGAAGGGGAAAAAAGAAAGGTAAAGGAAGGGGAATCATAACCATATCTGTAAATCTAAATATAAGATTATCTTTTAATATAATCAACTAATAGCAAAACAAAGTTAGCCTACATAATTAAGGGTTTATGAGTAAAAGATATTTTTGGAATGGTAGAAAATCTGCAGAGGATAAAACTCTTTAATGGAATTTGGGTAAGATACTCTGGGAATTTAGCTAAATGGGAATAAATCTAATGTCTGCAGATCAGGAATTATAAACATGTGTTGGTTTATTCCACCTGCCTTTTTCTTCCTTTAAAGGCTTCCTAAACCCATCATACATGTCTGATTTATGAATTATGCTCTCTAATAATAACAGGTACCTGAAAAATACCCAGCTTTTAATTCTGGAAAACTTTCCCACAGATATCTAGGTCCCTCTGTCATTTTAGAAAAAAGAATATACTTTGATACATTAAGTGCCATCTCCCAAATCCTACAAATGTGTACCTTAAACAAGACACAACCACCTGGAGAAGTTTTCCTGCATTAAAATTTGCGTATTATGTGCCAAAAAGTACAAAGACCTCAGAAGAATCAGATATGATCACAGGATACAATCCCTGGAGACAAACACTGTCAAGTCAGAATGACAGCCACATTTGGAAACGCAGTCCTTATGGGTCATGTGTTGCTATTGTTAGGGGTGTTGGGAGAGAGGAAAGAGGCGAAAATAGAAATGGCATTTGACAAGATTTTACAATATACACATACCTTTATGAAAATATATCCTTTATGCCAGACTTGAGATATCACAATCCTTATTCCTAAGATACTGAGGTATATTACAAGGTGAATAAAGTATCCTGAAATCCTATAAGCCTGATTAGACTCTGTCTTCTGTACTTTCTCAAGGTAATCAGGAGATTGACTGGTGTCCCAAAGCCCTTAACGTAAAGAAGGTGATGTGTAAATAAGCCCTAATTCTTTTACTGGCTTCTTTGTGGCTGCATGATTAAATGGATACCAGATGATGATCTTGTAGTAGCTCATACCTGCCTTTCCCCTCCACTTCTCTAATTACTTTCCTCTATTATTCCTTTCTATTTTGGCTTCATCCAGTTGCTCCTTGAATAGAATATCATCTGAAAGTAACTTCTGTAGCCAGACCTAGGGGGAAGCTAAACAGGAGTAGCCAATAAGCCAACAAGCTGCCAGGCTAAAGTGAAGTCATTACTGCCAGAGAGAAAATCAGCACTACTAGGGTTTAAACATCCAGAGTCCACAGCAATTATATTCATTATAAAACAAATGTATTCTAATTCCTAAGAGACAAAAGAATTGGACTGGAAATTTCTGTTCCCTGAAGAGTTAAATTCTCCATTATAGCACTATACTCTTCAGTGATAACTTCAGGAAAACATTTATCTTATTTAAAAGGCCAGTGAAGAAAGAACTGGCTCTGTACTTGTTATGTTTACTTTAATTATGGCAATTAAACTTTGGCAGTGGCAGAAGCACAAAATATTGCATGCTAGTACACAACTAGAGATTGAGCCTAGTAGCCACTAGAGAGACTTTGAAGTTTGAAAAGAGATTGTTTACTGAATACATGGTTAGGTCTTCACCCATGACCTAAGCCCTAAAAAACAGTGCCAAAGTATCCAAAAAAAGGGTAAGAAATACGAAGAATGACGTTATTAGAAGTGACTTTTAGCTCTTCTTCCCTTAAGTTTTAATATAAGGAGGGATTTAAATGGATGGATGGGTGGATGGGTAGATGAATAAACAGACAGACAACAAACAAACAGGCTGTTCCCTAAATAAAGAAAATTGGATTGAAATAATTATTCTACCATAAAGTACCTTTGATCCTGCGAGAAAAATCACGGTAGGAATCTGAGTACCCTCTAGGTCTTGATTACAAATGCAGTAGACTTGTTAATGAAAATTGATACCAGTGCACCGAGAGAAGATTAATTAAAGCATTTCTAGATAAAAGTCACATGAAAGCAGAAAAACAAGATACAGAAGAAGAAATAAATAACAGGGAAGATCAAATGTGATGTATAAATAAGGAAAGAATTCAATTTTCCAGTACCTAAAGAACTGAAAAGGACTAAAAAAGTATGACACTAAAGAGAAATAGTGCAAAAGCAGGGTGATGCAAATTCCACAATGGCAAGGATTTTTCTCTGATTTGTTCATTGTCATATCTCCAGTGTCCAGAACAATACCTGTGACCTGGTAGGTAGTGAATAAAAATCATTAAATGAATGAATGAATAGGATAAGTAAGAGAATTGATAATAATGCAACACTGGTAGAAGGGGAGGCTGTTTGCCAAGGAAATGTTGAAAAAGAAAAACAAAGCTGGGGGCATCACGTTGCCTGATTTCAAGCTCTATTACAAAGCAGTGATCACTAAGACAGCATGGTACTGGCACAAAAACAGACATATAGACCAACTGAACAGAATAGAGAGCCCAGATATGGACCCTCAACTCTACGGTCAAATAATCTTCGACAAAGCAGGAAAAAATATGCAATGGATAAAGGACAGTCTCTTCAATAAATGGTGCTGGGAAAATTGGACAGCTACATACAGAAGAATGAAACTTGACCATTCTCTAACACCATACACAAAGATAAACTCAAAATGGATGAAAGACCTCAATGTGAGACAGGAATCCATCAAAATCCTAGAGGAGAACATAGGCAGTAACCTCTTTGACATCGGCCTCAGCAACTTCTTTCAAGATACATCTCCAAAGGCTAGTGAAGCAAAAGCAAAAATGAACTTTTGGGACTTCATCAAGATAAAAAGCTTCTGCACAGCAAAGGAGTCAACAAAACAAAGAGGCAACCCACAGAATGGGAGAAGATATTTGCAAATGACACTACAGATAAAGGGCTGGTTTCCAAGATCTATAAAGAACTTCTCAAACTCAACAGCCAAAAAACAAATAATCAACTCAAAAAATGGGCAGATGACATGAACAGACACTTCTCCAAAGAAGACATACAAATGGCTAACAGACACATGAAAAAATGTTCATCATCATTAGCCATCAGGGAAATTCAAATCAAAACCACACTGAGATACCACCTTACACCAATTAGAATGGCAAAAATTGACAAAGCAAGAAAGAACAAATGCTGGAGAGGTTGTGGAGAAAGGGGAACCCTGTTACACTGTTGGTGGGAATGCAAGTTGGGACAGCCACTTTGGAAAACAGTGTGAGGTGACTCAAAAAATTAGAAATAGAGCTACTCTATGACCCAGCAATTGCACCCCTGGGTATTTACCCCAAAGACACAAATGTAGTGAAAAGAAGGGCCATATGCAATCCTATGTTCATAGCAGCAATGTCTGCAATAGCCAAACTGTGGAAAGAGCTGAGATGCCCTTTAACAGATGAATGGATAAGGAAGACGTGGTCCATATATACAATGGAATATTACTCAGCCATCAGAAAGGATGAATACCCAACTTTTACATCAACATGGATGGGACTGGAGGAGATTATGCTAAGTGAAATAAGTCAAGCAGAGAAAGTCAATTATCATATGGTTTCACTTATTTGTGGAACTTAAGGAATAGCATGGAGGACATTAGGAGAAGGAAGGGAAAAATGAAGGAGGGGACATTGGAGGGAGAGAAAAACCATGAGAGACTATGGACTCTGAGAAACAAACTGAGGGTTTTAGAGGGGAGAGGGGGGGTGGTTAGCCCGGTGATGGGTATTAAAGAGTGCACGTACTGCATGGAGCACTGGGTGTTATATGAAAACAATGAATTGTGGATCACTACATCAAAAACAAATGATGTATTGTATGGTGACTAACATAACATAATAAAATTAAATTAAATTAAAAAAAGGAACAAGAGGCTGTTATAAAAATAGAATATAAAATATTTTTATAAAAATAAAAATAGAAACAGAATGGTGATGGAGTAAGGGGAAAAGAAGCAGGAAGAGAATACGGAAATTGATCAAATAGATAAATGAGAAATGACTGAAGGTAAAAAAAAGTACACAGAACTATAATAAGGAAGAGGGGAAAGATAGGAGTAGAAGTTATAAAATATTAAAATTACAAAAGAAAGATAAAAATGGTAGGAATCAGCCAAAATGGACACGTTTAGATGATGTGACAAAAGATAAATTATAAGACATGAGAAACTAACAGCTAACATGTAGGTTCCAGGTACTGGTCTACTGCTAGCTAGTAGCAGAGCTGGGATCTGAGCAGAGGCAATCTGACACCAGAGCCTCTGTTCTTAACCACTACACCACTATGCACATACATACCTTTGCTTTTATAGTTTAGAGGGAAATTAAATAGATAGGCTTTCCAGGAAGCCATAAGCAGTTTAGAATATATTTTAATTTCTGTTTTGTTTTATTCATTTGTTTGTTTATCATATGCCTCATTTCTAAAAAAATGACAGCTCCATGAAGGTGGGGATCTTTTTCTATTTTTATTCACTGATATATTCTAATTATTCATGTGGTTGGCATGTAATAGGTACTCAAAAATATTTCTTGAGTGAATTTGAGGAAGTTATTATTACCTTCTTACCAATGCCTCTAGACAAAAGTTTTGTCCAGCAAACAAAAAATTAAATATCCAGTCATTTTATTCCTGGATGTTTTCAAACATCCAATAGCTTGGCAATGCAGAGACATAGACATACCTTAAAAAAAGTAATTACAGAATACAAGTATTTGGCTGGGAAATCCAGACAATAAAAAACATTTTACAGATAAACCTATAAATGATAAAATGGTGCAAATGGATATACGTTGTTTTATCAAATGCCATCTGATAAAAACTGAAGGCTATCAATATAAGTGCATACAAAGATAGTGCTGCTTACACGCCGTTAGTAAGACATATGCTTTGATTTTGATTTTATCGTCTTTGGTGAAGGGCTGGCGTAAACCTATGATCTTGATTTGATTAGCATTATTCTTAAGCAGAGTGATTATTCATTTTCCAATTCAAATAATTAGAAATTTTCATCTGAAATCATAGATTCTTAAACATGTATGATGGTATAGTCCAAATGTCTCCATAATTATTCACTGAGTTTGGCTTGATTTTAACTATAATCCTTTTCCCTTGGCATTAAAAGACCTCAAACATTGTGATTAGGTTACAGCACATTTCCATCATTTAAATCAAAATAATTGCAAAAAGCTTGTCCTAATAGTAGTTTAAAAAATTAGGCTCTGCCACAGTGATTGAAATAAACTCTTATAAACTAGGAATATTTTCATTTTCTATTTGCTCCTAAAGGACACTCAGTGCTTTTCTAAAACATTAAAAAAAAAATTATTTAAACAAAGAACAGAAAATAGATGTTTAAAAATAGATATTTTTGAAATTCTATTCTCAACACTTTAGTTATAGCAAATTCTGTTTATATATAAGCATAAATAGGTGCAAATTATTTAAAGTCCAATGTACACACCTCATTAAAAAAAGCCTCCTTTTCTCTCTGTTTTCCACGCTAACATCTTTATCCTAGCTCTTGACATTCTTTCTTTTTCTTTCTTTCTTTCTTTATTTTTTTAAAGATTTTTTATTTATTTATCTGAGAGAGAGAATGGGAGACAGAGAGCATGAAAGGGGGAGGATCAGAGGGAGAAGCAGACTCCCCACTGAGCAGGGAGTCCGATGCAGGACTGGAGTCCAATGCGGGACTCGATCCCGGAACTCCAGGATCATGACCTGAGCCGAAGGCAGTCCGCTTAACCAACTGAGCCACCCAGGCGCCCCTCTTTTTTTTTTAAAAGATTTTATTTACTTATTTATTTGAGAGAGAGAGAGAGAGCATAAGCAGAGAGAGTTGCAGGCAGAGGGAGAAGCAGGCTCCCTGCTAAGCAGGGAGCCCCATGGAGGACTACTTCCCAGGACCCTGGGATCATAACCCAAGCCAAAGGCAGAGGCTTAACCGACTGAGCCACCCAGGTGTTCCTCTTGCCATTCTTCAATGCAAAACAAACCTGACCTCCAGACTCACAAGTGTATAGACCCAAGGGAAAGCTTGTAGCAAGCCCAATAACCCCAGAAGTCAGTATTACTCATAATAATGGAAACTAGAGCTTTCAACATGAAAATACATTTTGAATATTTCACTCTGATTCAACAATCAAGGAAACTGAACACTGCTGCAAACTACTTAGTCTAAGCTGTGGTACATGGATAAATGAGGTAAGTACTCATAATTATCAGACAGTCTTTTTTTTTTTTTTAAGATTTTTTATTTATTTTTTGACAGAGAGACAGCAAGAGAGGGAACACAAGCAGTGGGGAGTGGGAGAGGGAGAAGCAGGCTTCCCACTGAGCAGGGAGCCCGATGCAGGGCTCAATCCCAAGACCCTGGGATCATGACCTGAGCCGAAGGCAGATGCTTAACAACTGAGCCACCCAGGTGCCCCTATCGGATAGTCTTTAAGGTGTATTTAGACAAACACCTTACATCAGCAAAATTATTTAAAATGTTTGTATAATTCTTCTGATAGGATATAAAACTAGAATTTTCTCAAAGTCAAAAAGAGAACAGAATATTGACAAGAGGGAAAGGCTACAACATAGAGCCTACTGAAAAGAGATTAATATTTATAAGTATTTCCCACACTGAAATGTAGTTTTTTGAATTTCTATTCCTAAAGTCTTTTCCTAAGCCTCCCACATCTCCACAACTGATATTTTTTTTATTTTTTAGTTTTTTAGAGAGGGGAAGGGAGAGAGAGAGAAAGAGAGAGGCAGAGGGACAATCCCAAGCAGGGGCTCAATCGATCTCACAACCCTAAGATCATGACCTGAGCCGAAATCAAGAGTCAGACGCTTAACTGACTGAGCCACCCAGGCACCCCTCCACAAGTGATATTTTAAAAGATGTACTGGCACATAAAATAGATGTTCTACTCACCCAATTTTGAAACTTTAAGAATTCTTCAATGTTCTTTGGAGGTTTTTGCATTTTCTAATGAAGTAAAATCAATATTGCCAATTAACATAAAATCAGACTGTTTATGATGTTTACATATAATTTACTTAAGTAAATGATACTGGACTTAAGTTATAATTTTCAGAGCCATAAGACATTGTAAAATACTCACTTTGTAAAGTCCCTGCACTTTAGAAAGGTACAGAGGTCAATGTTTAAATCCCAAGCCTCCAAACCAAATTCCATAAAAGGCTTCCCTCTTATATATTGCTCCTAGAAAAAAACTCCACATGAATCCTCTTGAATATCCTCATTTCAAATTCCTACAAGAGTTCCGAGATATTTTGGACTATCTTGGATGGTGTCTACAATAAATTCAGAGCCAAAAATATAGTAACTTGCCCCTCTTGCTGATGACGTATTTAAAAGGCCATACTATTGGGGCGCCTGGGTGGCTCAGTCGTTAAGCGTCTGCCTTCGGCTCGGGTCATGATCCCGGGGTCCTGGGATCGAGCCCCGCATTGGGCTCCCTGCTTAGCGGGAAGCCTGCTTCTCCCTCTCCCACTCCCCCTGCTTGTGTTCCCTCTCTCGCTGTGTCTCTCTCTGTCAAATAAATAAATAAAATCTTTAAAAAAATAAAAAATAAATAAAAAATAAAAGGCCACACTAGTGACATGGTGAAAATAATTTAAATATTTGAATATTTCAGTGTAATAAATAATAATCCCATTTTTATTAGTAGTTTCCTCATAAGTTGAAAACATATTCTTTCATTAGACAAATTAATTTTAATCAAGACCACATCTTGTTCTTCCTTGCCTTAGAGACTGTGTACACATTCTTTCTTCTGCTTGGAAGGTTCCCTGTCCCAAGCCCTCTCCCTCCAATCCCTTCTTGGCCTATTTAACTCTTATTTTAAAGATCAAATTAAAAGTAACTTTTTCTATGAAGCCTTCCTTATTCCCCCAAAAGATTATCTATTATAACACACAGCAGATTCATATCTATATGAGGATAGAAACTATGGTATAATCACTGCTGAACTGTCAAAATTTCATACAGTGACAGGCTCAGGGTTAGTGCATAGTAAGTACTTGGAATATGTATAAATTAATAAAGAAATGAGTAGATAAATGTCAGAGAAATGTGTTGTTATTTAGAAGAATAGTAAGACCAATTCTAGAGAGTGAAAAACCAGTTAGAAGAAGGACAAATAAGAGGAATTTAGGGATGCCTGGGTGGCTCAGTTGTTAAGTATCTGCCTTCAGCTCAGGTCATGATAATGGTCCTGGGATCGAGCCTCACTTTGGGTTCCCTGCTCCGCAGGAAGCCTGCTTCTCCCTCTCCCACTCCCCCTGCTTGTATTCCTGCTCTCGCTCTCTGTCAAATAAATAAATAAAATCTTAAAAAAAAAAAAGAGGAATTCAGAATATCCTAATACAGTATCCTAATGATCTGATATTGACATGTCTGAAAAGATTGTAGTATATTTTAATTTACTAAAATACATATTTCACAGCAATATATAAAATGATCAAGATTACAAAATCACCACATTTTTGTAAAAATATCTATACACTTGAGGTTGAAGAGAATATCTCATTCTCTAATACTGTTAAAATATATGATGAATATAAGCAAATATATAACAGACAATAACAAATAACAAAATAAAAGGTATGTGACAATCATTATAAAAATAAGTATTCAAAAGCAAAGCTGCATAGAGCTGTGAAAAAAATTTAATGGAAAACATGGGACTCTAGACTGAGAAGGTAATAAATAAGAGATGGTGTGCACAGAATGCTTAGAAACAAAAAAAATGTTCAGGATACAATACCTTCAGAGAGAGTGAGTGTAGTAGTTTTGCTAGAAGGAAGCTATCAGTATATTTAGAAATACATGGAATATAAAGAGGCTAATTAAAACAATCTAAATGTTGCCTTTTTTTCTTATAATGGTTATCAAACCATTTCTAGTACAAAGCACTAAAAATAATACCCACATTTAAAAAAAAATTTTTTATTTGAGTACAGCTGACACACATTACATTAGTTTCAGGTGTACAACATAGTGATTCAACAACTCTATAGGTTATGCTCTGCTCACCACAAGTGTAGCTACCATCTATCACCATACAGCACTATCACAATATCACTGTCTGTATTCTCTATGCTGGACCTTTTATTCCTGTGGCTTATTTATTGCACAACTAGAAGCCTGTATCTCCTATTCTTCTTCACCCATTTTGCACAACCCCCTAACTCTGGCAACTATCAGTTTGTTCTCTGTCTTTATAGTTCTGGTTCTGCTTTTGTTTGTTTATTCATTTGTTTTGCTTTTTAGATTCCACATGTAAGTGAAATTATATGGTTTTTGTCTTTCTCTGTCTGATTTATTTCACTTAGTATAATACCTTCTAGGTCCATCCATGTTGTTGCAAATGGCAATATCTCATTGTTTTCATGGCTGTGTAATATTCCAGGGTGCGTGTGTGTGTGTGTGTGTGTGTGTGTGTGTGTGATATCTTCTTTATCCATTAAAATAATACCCACATTTCAATTAAAGGAAATTAGAAAAATGTATTAAGGAAGTGAAACTTACATGAGAAAGCTCCAGTTAATTTCAATATAAAATCCCAAAGTTCTCTAAGGTAAATGTTAAAAGGAGGTAGGCATAAATTAAATGGACTTCTGCTCTCAGTATAATGTAGAATGATTCAAAACACCTATGCTCCCATAGTAACAACAAAAGAAACCCAGACAAAATAAAAATCTTACTTTTCTATGAGGTTGGTGAAGAGCAGTGGGTGCCAGTAAGCAGGACTGGCTACATTATGTGCCATTGCCAAGTCCCTTGTTCAAAAATTAAGAATTTTAAGATGGTAACATGAGACCATTAAACCAACTGTGGGGTCCACTTAATCACGAAGCCCTGTGCAACTGCAAGCCTGTGAAGCCTCCCTACCTGGAAGCCTTAATGACCAGAAATCCAAAAAGAAATATTCTCTTTATAAGTGAGTATAAAGCTCTGGCAGCTTCCTTACCCGGCAGTGAGCTCTGACCATCCACTGAGGAAAGTGTTGGCCTGCCATGGTGCAGTAACTTTGCAAAGATGAAGAGAAATCAGTTGGACCTTAGCCGTTGGCATGAGCTGGAGGAACAAACTGGAGTCTGAAAGACACCCAAATACAAAAACAAATGAGTCAGACAAACAATCCCTTCCCAGACCCCTATGCCTCACTTCCAAGTTTTGTCTAAAAAGCAGCAGTCGAGGAGGGGCTGGAAAGATAGAGAACTTATTGGGGCCAACACATTCTTATGGTACTTGGGTTCCAGGGCCCTGACAGAGTTGACTCCAAAGGTGAAGCAAAAATGTAAAAAAAACTGCAGTCCCAACTTCTCCTAATTCAATATTGATGAGATATGAGTTGGCTATGATGAGGGAAGTTGGAAGTTGGGTTAGTCAGAGGTGAACTCAATCCAATTAAAGCTGAAGCCAACCCTAAAGTTCAACTCAAGTCTAGGAGGAATAAAAAGATCAACATCTCAATTTGAATGCCAAGGAGAGTAATAGGCTTGTGCTTTCTGAAGACTAAATAACACTAAATTACACATCATCCTCTACACTTTTTCCTCATAATGTCTAATACACAATAAAACAGTTACAAGAATACAAACAAGAAGTAAAATGGGACCCATAATCAAGAGAAAGCACAGCTGATACAAACCAATTCACTGAGAACCCAGTTGTAACTTGCAGACAAGGACTTTACAGCATCTGTTATAAATATGTTAAAGATTTTACAATAGGGCGCCTGGGTGGCTCAGTTGGTTAAGCAACTGCCTTCGGCTCAGGTCATGATCC